AATTTCCTCACTGTTCTTCCAGCCTCTGTCTAGAGTTCCCTTGAGGCTCCTCTTGCCTTTTGTCCTGTTGTCTGGTCCTACAGCCATGCCACATGTTGTAGGTCTTCGTCATAGTGCTTCTGGTGCCAAATTCTGTTTCAGTTGTATAATATGTAACAAATTATCCCCAAATTTTCTGATTTAATGTGACAACCATTTTACTGTCTATCATGATTCTGTAGCTTGTCTGGGCTCAGCTGGACAGACGTTTTGCTCTAAATAATGTTGGCTGGGGCTACAGTTATCTGGGGCCTTGAATGGGTTGGAATATCTGAGACGGTTCATTCTCATGTCTGGGATGTTGGTACTGGCAATCCACTGGGAGCTCACTAGGGCTGGTGACTGGCGCATCCAGTACACCTCCTTGTAGCTTCTCAGTGTGGCTTGGGTGTCTCATAGCATGACAGCTAGGTTCCAAGAGGAAGCATCCCAAGAGTGCACGTTTCAAAAGAAAGCAAAGACAGCCAACCTCTTAAGGCGTGGGCTCAGATATACCAACATGTCACTTCTGTCACATTCTATTGCTTAGAGCAGTCAGAGGGGAGGGGAAGTAAGCACCACTTCTTAATGTGAGGAGTGCCATGCTCAATCAGGGAGGTCAGAAATTGTTAGGCCGTCTTTTCAGAATAGTTACGTCACAGAGATAGAGACAGTGCGTAATGATGAGAGTCCATACACCAGGAAGACATAACAGTTGTTTACATGCATGTGCCTCATAACAGAGCTTAAATACAAGAAGTGAATGTTGACAAAAATAGACTAAGTCAAAATCCCACTTATGTTGGAGATTATAGCACCCTTTCCTCAGTTATTTATAGAACAAGTAGACAAAAAACTCATTAAGGACATAAAATATTTTGATAATACTGTCGTCACACTTACTTCCTATAGATAGACACTGCATACCACAGCTGCAGAATACCCATTCTCTCCAAGTGCCTATGGGATATTTACCACAGTGGATTACTGGGGCCCTCCCTCCCCTACCAGCTTCTCCTCTGCTGTACTGGTCCCACAAAGTCCAGACATTTCAGGAGATCTGACCTCTCATCTCTACCTTCTCAGTTCAGAAGTCCACTGCTACACTCTCATTTGCCTCTACTTTTCTGGGCCACGTTCTAGAAAGTGCCCAAGCCAAAGAGCTGGGGCAAATATAGGTCTCTTTTTGATGTTTCTCTTCTCTCGAGAATCATTCATGGTTCTGGACTTCCTAATGCTTAATATCTGAAATGGCTTCACATATTTTTGTCCACTTTTAGTGGGAGGGTGTGCTCATGTGAAATAAGTCCAAATAAATTTAAAAAAATTGAAATCACGTGAATTATGATCTCTGGCTACAATGGAATTAAATTAGAAATTGATTACAATAAGACGTCTAGAAAATTGACAAATATTTGAGAGTTAAACAACATATTTCCGAATAACTCATGGTCAAAGAAAAAGTGGAGGCCAGGCATGGTGGCTTATGCCTGTAATCCCAGCACTTTGGGAGGCCAAGGCGAGTGGATCATAAGGTCAAGAGATCGAGACCATCTTGGCCAACATGGTGACACCCGTCTCTACTGAAAATAGAAAAATTAGCTGGGCATAGTGTTGCATACCTGTAGTCCCAGCTACTGGGGAGGCTGAGGCAGG